GATTATTTGACACTAAAAACATGAAAGTGTATCAAATAAAAAAGTTCATGAGTTCAACTGTCTTCAAGGTAAGTAAGGACCTACCTTAAAATTCTCAATATTAGCAATATTTTCCTCGTTTATAGTTTAAGTTTTTTCAATGGCGAATTATTGTGTAATCTCGCGTAAGGATCTACTTCTGAAGTTGTACTATTCAGTTCTCCTCGAGATTAATAACAACTGTCCTTTTGATTATGCTTTTTAAAAGGTTGTCTTCATTGGCAATGTAAAGCATGAGGCCTTTCCAAGGAAATAAACCATTTAAGGGACAACAAAGAATACAGCCCTAAGACTATATAAAAATTACCTCCATCCTTGCCTTCATATTTTGACAAGATCTAGATCTGCCGAAGAAAATTTAAAATTTTCTATTTCCTTTAATTTTTTCTGGACGTTCTGAATGTTTTGATCCTTGAAATGGGAGGAATCACGAAGACTCCTCGGTTTTAGTCTGAAAGGCTCCAGTCTTTGAGACCCAACTTAATTTGACGAGGCCATACTTAATATCCCTGCAAGCAAAGGTCTCAACCCCTTGGAGAAAATGAAAATTTAAGGAGAGAGAGAGTCGATTATAAATAACGATTTTCAATGAGGCAGGCTGCCTTGCCGAAAATCGATCGTTCCATATACATGTAAAGAGAGGAACAACAATGCCTCTAGCTCACGAGGATCACCGCTGGTTGCATCCAATGGCGGAGGCGTGAATGATCGATCATCGATAATCCCCCATTTGAAGCTATGGTAAAGAATCGATTATGAAGGTGTTCGGTGCGAACACCCTATTTATCGATCCTCTTCTATCAGTTTAAAGGAAAGAGCGATCGATATATCGCAAAGCACGCCACGCCACTGGCTGCATCGAATGGGTTCACGTAGATAGGGCCATAAATTAAGGGTCCGCATTTCGGACGAGTTCTTGGATTCTGGGTTTACGATGAGCTTCCTGTCCGACTGACCGCCGAAAGATCACTGGTCCGGAGAAAGTCTGCGGACGAAAAAATCCGAGTACCAGTTGAACGTATTAATGCTAAAAGGAAGTATGTGCATAAGTTTTGCGTGAGACATAGTCCCTTTTGGCATAAATACGTCCAGTCCACACTCCGGCGCGGTTTTCGGAAGAAAAAAGTGCCGCATTTTTTTGACGCACAGTCAAAGCCCGGCGAGATTCATTCGACTCAAAGATGCAAAGTTGAACTCTTGACTTAATTTCTGGCCGGTTACGTGACGAATTAAGCGGTTGTATTGTTATACAATCCTCTCCGGGTCCCGCACTGGAAGCTAACGATTACTTAATTTTTTCTGCGTTTTACATCAGCCTTACTAAACTGCAGGTCGAGGAAGAAGAACTTTCCGGTGCTCCGAGAGCTTTGACCCAGGCCAGGAGTGGAACATTTTTCCGTTTTTACTTCGAATTTCAAGTGAGCCAGCAGGCCGATTATTGAAACTGATAGACAAAGCTATAGACAAAGACGACAAAAGGGATTTGACATAGGACAAGGGATTGGCAATGGACAAAGGAGGCAGGTAATGGACTGAGTAACGGCAACCCACCAAGGACCCGACAGTTAGTCCATCATTTTCTTCCTTAGTCTATAGGAACCAACCATGTCAACCAATAGGATCGATCCATACTCCCTATATCTTCTTTGTTTATAGCTTTGTCTATCAGTTTCAATAATCGACCCGCGCAGGGCTGGATTTACCATATAAGCGTACTAGGCGCGCACCTAGGGGCCTGAACCACCAAGTTGTTTACCCCCTTTCCCTGTCAACATAAACGCTTTTACTTCTTCTGACAAGATTCTCCTTACTTTTTTGTAGGCTTATATATCGATTCCATAGAGGGTCCTCTTCCCTTCGTTTCGCGCACAACATGCGCCAAAAAACTCAGCAAATTTTGCTCAATAGGATATGAAACTTTAAATTTTATTATAAGAGATCCTCTCCCACTCACGTACTGTGGCAGATTCGAGGGAAAGACGGGAGGGGAGGCACGGTGGCAAGGCCCGGGCCCCGCCCCCTTTTGGGCCAAAAAAGAGGGAAGGAAAAGAAGAAAGGGAAGAGAAAGAAGAAAGAGGCTAAAGGAGGAAAGGGAAGAAAGGAAAGAACTCGGAATTAGAAGACCTGTCGCACTCAACAGAAATAGATGAAGAGAGTAAAAGCAGCATACCCAAAATTGCACTGCGATGGTTTTAGGAACTGAAGGACCACTAGACAAGGTACGAGGTTAAGCAAAACCAAATTTGTCTTAATCAAAATTTAACGTAAAACACGACTCGTGCAAAGAAAATTACTAAAATTGACTCCTAACCGAAGTGTTTAATGTTTCTTGACCCGCGATTTCAAACCTCTCGCCCATGCGAAGACAATGGTCTACGTTGAGTAAAAAAGAACCCATAAGGCAACTTGCTCGTACTTGAGAAATTTATAAATTAATCAACAACTATTCTGAAATTTTCCACCCAGACAGAAAAATATATCTGAAATACACAATTATTCCAGATCCAGCGAATAATAACATAAATGTGGCAATAGCGCCTAGACTCAAACCGTTCCTTAAGATACATAGAGATGCTTAGGAATAGCGGTGCGTCTCATCGGCTGGAGGACAACAAACCGATTTTCTCTTCATTTCTTTCAAAATAAAAAAATGCTACTTTGCGAATATTTAATAAAAAAATGACACGGTAACATCGGATGTTAAGAAATTCCGCACGAAAGAAATAATTTAATTCCGATAATCAAGCAAGGCACCTGGTGAGACACCGATCTTCAACGGTTTCATAATGGTCTCCAGAAGCTAATCGCAGGTCCTCCGAGCGCCACATTGATTTCTCGGAATTTTAACATCCGACTGATTAGCACTGGATTCTCACAAACTATTTAAGAGGAAACGTATCACTGATTATGCTGGACCTGACCCCTTAGGCGCGGATATCGGTGTAAACTGATATGTCAATTAAGACGATATGTCAAAACAAATTTTCCTCTCGAAAAACATGAAAGTCCTAACGTTGAAATTTTCCAACATTACCGTAACAGCACGCAAGACCCTTGTCTTTTGTCGCCTTTGAAAGACGATAAACGTTCAGTTCCTGTGTTCTTTCATGCAATGATGTAGCCAAAATTGTTCCTGAGAGGTTGGTCGGCGGTTCGGCATGAGCAAATTTTTAAATAATAATATCCTCACGCGTCAAATAACTGGCGTTCGTTCCTGCGCCTACTTTTCTACGATGCGTTAAAGTCTCTGAAGTGACACCTGCATTTTGCCGCTCAGGCGGATCAGTAGCGTGGCGTGCTCCGCGATATATCGATTCATATGCCATTTAAACCAATGGAAAAACATCGATAAATAGGGTATTTGCAACGAACACCTTAATAATCGACTCTTTACCATAGCTTCAAATGGAGAAATATCGATAATCGATCATTCACGCCTCGTCACTGCGGCGGATTTAGACACCTCGAGGGGAAGGGGGCGTAAGGTCGGTCTGAGGGCCTCCACCTGAAAGTTGTTTTAATTTTTAAAACATCTAAATGCAGTTTGAGTCAATTTCGTTATGAATAATTGCCTTTAAGTTCTTTTCTCCGTTTCTTCCGTCTATCTTCTTTCTCTTTATTTCCCACCTTTTCTTGGGCGAACACCCCCCTCCCCCTGGATCCATCTATGTTTTGTCATACTGGCGATCTTTTGCGTGGCTCAGCGCGGGCAAATTTTTAGACAATAATGTCTCCATGCGACAAGCAACTCATGTTTGCCGGTAGGCCTACTTTTCTGCGCTTGCGTTGAAGTCTCTGAATTGAGAATTGCACTTTGGCGCCTTGGTGATCTATCGTGTGGTCACCAAAGGCAACCTGCCTTGAAATGCGGTAAACTTGAAAAAGCGTGTTACCAACTACGAAGATTATGCGCTAAGGAGTAGATTACAGACGTTTTGATGTGCCCAGGGTGATTTTCGAGCGAGTTTACCTTTGAGGAACAGTCTTTAGTTGGCTGAATCTATTGCATGAAACGGACCCATTGTTTTTTGCGGAATTTAATATACGTGCAAATACTTAAATCGAGATTCTTAGGTACACGTTGAAACCCAATCATTCAGAAATTCGATGAACTACTCAAGAAGTCAAAATGCGTTCGACAATCCCTCATGACGTCATGACAAACACCGCTCATACCCCCTCGCATCTAAATAGTCGTGTATGACAATAGTTGTGGGGCCACCGGATTTGTATGTTGTTATAATACTAACGTAACCTAACCTAACGTAACCTAACCTAACCTAACGTAACCTAAACCTAACCAAACCTAAACCTAACCGAGGCAACCTAACCCAACCTAACCTAACCTAACGTAACCTAGCCTAACATGACCGAACGATATTTTGGCCAAAATAGCCTAACTTTTTCTAGCCTAGTTTAACCTCACCTAATCCTACCTAACTTAACCTAATCTGACCTAACCTGACCTGACCTGACCTAACCTATCCGACAAGTTTTGTGGCCGTATAAATGCCTTTTTGTTTCAAGATTTTGGTTGTGGGATCACGAAGAATGGCCCCACAACCTGGAGGAGAAGCATGTGTAGAAGCCCCACAACCGTAGATCATACGATCCCATAGCCTACCCATCAGGGGAAACAAACCAAAACGCACATACGCCTAAACCGCACGAGCCACCGTAGCCACTCCAGATGCTAGTGATAAGAGAAAGTTATATGCCCCCTCCCCGTGGGGGCACCCGCGAGGCGCAGTTGCCAAACTTGCATCCGAGAAATCAATTCTCTCCACGCGCCTCGCTGTCGTAAGACGGACACTCAACCGGCAATCCGAGTGCCAAATGGCGGCCGACTATGGCACGCTCCGATGGTAAAATAAGTGGATTATAGGGTTGCTCGACAACGCTGACCACCCTGAGCTGGGAGCTGGCGTGCGGTCGAGTTTTATCACTGTAACTTTTTCCATCCGGACGCCAGTACCAGACATTCGCTCGCTGGGATCGCTCTACGCTCTCGCTCGTTCCGCTGTGCTTCGATATCTCGTACGGTTTTCGACTTGGATTTTTTTTTAAATTTATCGAGTTTTGGGTTTTGGGGTTATCAAGTGACCCGGTGCAAATGCCTGTTCGGCTCGTTTGAATGATTCCTGCTTTTGAAAGCTTGAATAATTCAATTTCTTAAAATTTTCGAAATTTTCGAAAAATTTTGGAATTTTTAAGTCTGCATTGTTCTTCCTCCTCTGACCTATCTGGATCACGGACTGTGTGTTTTGATTGATGTTCTTGAAAGCTGAGGCGATTAGAGGCGATTGGATTTTTCAAAAATTTCCTGGGAAGTTTTTGGGAAAATTTAATTTTGTTCGTGGTTCCGAAAAATTTCTTAATTAATCTCCTGTATACCGGTTTGACTTTTTTTGAGTCTCTGGTTATCTAGTTAGAGTCTTCTCAAGTGATTTACCTCCCCGAGATTCCGGTCAGTTTGTAGGGGAAATGTTGAAAGGAAGCGCCTAATTTTTTCTCTCTTTTTATTCAAAGCTCCCAATTCAATTCTGACAGTTCAAAATCGAAGAAATTGCATGTCTTTGGTTTGAAAGAGAGGCAGGATTAAAAACATCAAACATGCATAAAGTGAGAGGAATTTTTAGTTTTTAGCTCCCTCCCCCCCCCAAAAAAAAAAAATGTGCTTGATTTTTATTCTAGAATATCCAAAAATTAAGGGTTCAGTAAATTTTAAAACATCGAGAGCACTAGCACTTCTACCTTAAGTAATTACATAAGTCCAATGAAACTGAATAACTAATACAAAAAATATCAGCGGGTGGAATTGCATTCAGCGTATCCGACAGGCATTTGGCGGGAAGAAAGTTTCGCGTGCGGGAATTCAAATTTTTATTTTCGTGATTTCAGTTGAACAGACAAATAACTACGACAATGATAAGTTAGCTGGAGTTTAGTGAAGTGTTTAAGCTGTTAATAGTTGCAACAATCAAAATTACCATAGGCTTCTCACCATGAAGGCTCAAAGCAATCATATCAGGTAAGATTTTACTTCCTCATTTCCAGTCAATGTATGCTCCTTAATACAGTTTTCATTTTTTCATTGCACACCAATTCAACGAAAGTTCAAAATCTAATCTCACCATATTTAATACACTGGTGTGTTATTGAAGTAAAAATTTCAAATATTTCGAGACATTTTCTCATTAGCTTGAGGATTTTTTTGTGGAAGAACAGGAGAAAAGATTTGACTGCTGCAATTTAAGTCACTCTTCTTTTCCATCCAATTGTGGTATTTTTATCTTGAGATCTCCATTTCAAAATTTTGATCGGTATTAATGTTTCTGCATTGCATCATCGCGCATTCTATTCTTACATCGAGGGTTATTACAGAATAAACTTTCCCGTGTAATTTTCAGAGGCCTACAGTATCTGTAGTAAATAACCTTTACAGTAAGTCATAAAGGAANGGGGGGGGGGGGGGGGATCGGACGAATTTATAAATCTTATGATGAGAAAAAAAATCAAACTACAGACCTCTTTTTCTGAATGTACGTCCATTCTTGCATTGACCTTTGTTTTAGAAAGTCGCATTAATGCCGTGGTACAAAATTTAGCCACCGTTACCTATTACCTAATGAAAAAAACAAAAAAAACATACTTAGGACCCCCCCCCAAAACCGATTATCAGGTATTTATTCAACTGAAATTGGATCGCTAAACTGTCAAAAATGAATCTCAATTAGCTGCTCGAGTAAATATTGTCACTCATTTTCGTTTTCATCCAACAATATTTCTTTGCGCTTACAGAGTTATTTATCTCAAGCAATATTACAGTAATTCTTTTTGATTTGTACCTAATCACCTGACCCAGCGGGTGTTATCTTTTTTTAGGGGGAAGTGCTGTACAGAATAGCCACATATGTTTTAAATGATCGATACATGTGTGTTGAGACGTGCATACAACGTTCGTAGAGTCATCGTAATTCCCTTTCGTTCGAACGTTTCCTTCACTAATTCCTATGCTCTAAGTATCCGTGCATTAGGTTGAATTGCGGTCGATCACAATCTTATAGACATTGTGTCGAGTCTTCCTTATACGATGATGTATGACATCAATGTCTTAGCGCGGTCTTGTAACAAACTGTCTGATAGGTAGTAATTTATCTGCAAGTGTTACGAAATCGCCTCTGCACTGTCTCCGCTCATGATGGCGCTCGCAGTCCTTTCTCTCGGAAAAGCGGTCATGTTTACTTCCTGCGAGTCGAAGTGTCATTAAAAGTTCATTTTCTTGATCGATACAGCTCCAGGTCATATCTAATGCGAGTATTGTTTCAGGAAATCTCGGAGAACTTGAGGTGTGGGGAGCAGAGGAGAGAGAAATTAATAGGCTATCGTGTGCAGGACGGTTGTTACGTATGATTCTCATACAATGTTATGAGTTGTTTCATCTGGTTTTAATTTTGACATTTCTGCGAGAAATTGTACCAATTCTACGACTCCGTTAAGAAAAAAACAAAAAAACTGACCAACCCAATAATATCGTTCTCATGGCATAACATTCAGTTTTGAGGTGGTGTAAGAGGACATTACCAGGAGACTTAAACGAAAGGAGAGGAAAGTAAGAAAGGCGAGTACGTGTTGATCAGGCATTTAAAATATAGAAAAACAAATCGGACGTTTTTTTGTTAATTCTTCAATTTTGTAAGTTTTTCAAGGGCTTCTCGACCGCGTTTGAAGATTAGTTTCTTCAATGATGCAATTTTTTCCTAAAAAACTAGGAGCTAATTGAAACTAGCTTAAAACAAACGATTCATTCATAAATAATATTTTCCACGCAAATATTGAGATTTTAAAAACCAGCATGTGCATGTCAATGCTGACAAGAACTTTAATAACTTCAAATTTTCTTTTTGAATCTTAAATCAAACAATAAAGATAGAACGAACAGAACCAATCTCAGAAAAATTAAAGCTTCTCAGCAGCATAAGTATTTCCTAGAATTTCATTGGACATGTAACCGAACCGAATGCTTTTAATGTCCCAAAACATTATAGGGAGTCCTCTTTTCGGTGCACAGTCGTGAGCATTGAATATTTGGACAGTGTCATACAACGCCTGGATATCAGTAGATTTATCGTATTAAAATAGTGTATCAGATTTTTTTGGAAGTCACCTTCGAAGTGCATCAATACGGGTTCCTCATTATGAAGTAATTACGATACTTTTGAAACTGGCCACGGTGGATAGAAAATCACTAAAAATACGACCATGGCACGGGTATGATGAGCTACAAATTATTTTTTAAACCAATCTGAAATTTCTCATTTTTTCTTCTCTATTTTTTCTCTCCGGAATTTTCAAAACAGATCGTGACAGGTTTGATCTCACCTGAGGCGACCCACAGACGCATTTATCTCGGTAATTTCGCTCGTTTGCCTGTCGAGTATGGTTGTAATTTGCTCGCAGATGAATACGGGGGCAATACTACTTGGCGTTTCAAAAACCGATGCAACAAACGATAGTGGCGTACGCATAGACGATAATTCGCCTGCAGGCGTCAGTATACAGCGTTGTCACATTTTAAATTATTACTTTCATAAGCGATACATCATACTTTTTCTTCCACGTACAGTGAAATCTGCTCTTGGCCGAAACTGTTCAGAACGGAAAAGCGATCCTAACGGCAATTTTTTCTTGTTCCGTGGTACATAAATGTATGTAGAAGTCGCAGGCAATTAGCAATCGCCAGCAATTTGCAAGCCAGCGGTAAATAAATGTAGAAAATCATAAAATTCAAAAACAAAAAAATAAGATTAGAGTGCTGATTATGTTGCCTTTAATGTGAGTCAACACTTTTCCCACCGTACAAACATAGTAGAAATAAGCACTCTCAGTAGAGCGTGTAGTGAACTCCGTGACATTAGTTGGGTTGAGATCGGACAGGTAACTAAACTAACTTAATGACAAAGCGTAGAGTATCACAAAAAATGAAGGCGCTCCAAGGCGAGCTGATGCTTTTGAAGACCATAATCCTTAAAAATCATATTATGTCGATGCGCATTATTGAGAGTTATCGAAACAACATGTGAACTGCTTGCAAATTGTCGGCGATTGCTAATTGCCTGCGACATAAATAAATTTGCTCGTAGCGTAAACCCGATGTCAACGGAAACATTTCTCGGTCCCGTGAGATTTGATGTATGTACATCTATACTCTATGCCAATACTCAAACTCGCTCTTTCAAAAAGTCGGATTTAAATTAAAAGCAGAATTAATGGCCAATCGTACTCTTAAATACTCTGGGGGAAGAATTGGTAGCATTATTTCCCATACTATTTCTTTAGTTTATCCCTCTTTGTTCGAAGAAAAAGCATAAGATTACTTTAGAGGCATGAGGGCTCTCTGGAAAATATCTCATGACCTCAACCCCGTTTGTATAAGTTCAGCCAATTTCAAAGTTTTTGAGGGAATTGTTGAACGTTTCCTCCATGAATATATTTGTTTTCAGAGGATCAAGAATTCCGTAGATGCGTTTAATTTTCCGAGAGTTAAAAATTGATTTTTTGTTGAAAAGTCGGCAACCATGCACGCACAAAGCAACACGTTGATAAACGTGTATGAAATGAATAAGTATATGAGATTCCGAGAAAAGTATTCCAATGTCTCAACTCAAGATTACGCGTCAGGTTGACGCAAAAATTGCGTCATTGAAGAAACCAATCCTCAAACACGGTTGAGAGGCTCTTGAGAAACTTCTGAAATGGATTATCATATCATAAGAATTTGCGACGCGCGTGGATGAATTCTTCAAAGATCTGTCTCGTGCAACAGTAAAATTTACGGAAGAATTACCGATAGGCAACAGAAATACTTAACAGAGAAACGTCCTAATTTTTCCCCATTTTTTTAATATGCCACGTATTCGCCTTTCTTACTTTTCTCTCCTTTCGTTAAAGTCTCCAAGTGATTACATCTTAAATTACCCCTAAACCGACTGTTATACTATGAAAAAGGTACCACTAATTTATAAAATTAATAAAACTACTGGATAAGCGTAACTTTTCAAATTTAATAACCATTCTCATGAATTAGCCAGGACAATGAAATCGATCTTCTTTTTTTTTCTTTTTTTTTTTTCAAATCAAAGCAAATAAATTCAGAATCTTGAGGCAAGACCTGGCTATGTCATTATATGCATACAATATGATTAGCAATAGAGAGTTTTTACTCATAAAATCGGTTAATGTTTCTCTACTCCTGACCATGGAATGATAATTGAATTATGTTTTGAGGTTGATTCAAGAGCCTTTGTATAGATTCCACCGTTTAGCTCTCGAATAACTTTAGATCAATTATTTTAAGCGGGAAGCTATAAATATTTAGTCCAACAAAACGGGAAAAAAATCCAACGCGAAGCAGAGCGAGCCTCAAATTAAGTTTTTAAGATCTTATTAGATAAACGGAAACTCTTCACGACAAGGAAAACAATTACTCATGGACAGTTAAATATTGAAAACACAACGATTAATTTCTTCGCGGTTTAATTTTGAGGAAAGTCCGATCCATACATATTGACTCACCAACAAAATGGTCGAGCCTGCCGTTTGCTAATATTAGACGCGCTGGCGTCTGAAACATTTCAATAATTTTTAAGTTCATGACCTTAATTTGGTATTCTAGACAGTCAAAAGAGCGGCAGTAGGAGCTGATTCATCCAGTATGTTGATTCTGATCCAAAGAATAGCTGTACACTTAATCACTTTATTCTTGTTTATGTGTAGGCGACCAGTTTGCAAATTTGCCAGATTTTTCCAGGGTATTTCAAGCTTCTTTGCCACCTTAAAGTCTTTTCGGGGATATTGGTCTACTTCCCTTAGTCTCACAAGTGGGACCAGTTTATTTTGTTGGTCATATTTTTCCCTCTCTCTCTCATTTAAAAAAAGAAAAAGAGAGAAAAAAACATACGGTACTATCCATGTGATCAGCAAAAATTTAAGGCTTAAAAATTGCAGCTCTTTTGAACTCTATACCTAAAT